GCGGAGGAGGCCCGGGGACCGGCGGCCCCGGGGCCGGGCCCTGCGGGCTGGAGCGAGTCCGGCGCTCGGACAAACCCGAAAAGGGGCTGCTACAGCCAGTCACCGCCTCCCGGGCCCTCACCGAACCTTCCCTTTGACAGCGAGGTTTACCCCTGCCCCTCCCACCCCCAAAAGCCACAAAGAACAGTTAAAAATGACAGTCAAGTTCCTTCTTTTTTTTTTTTAAAAAAAAAGAGATCTACGCTGCTGTACATATACACATTACTTACATTACAAAATCCCAGAGAAATGTCTGCTGTATCAGCTATGCTCTGCTCACCTCCTTTCCCTTCGAAGCGGCTCCCTTTGGGTCAAACACCATTCAAATCTGTGAGCAATTAAACAGCGGCTACGGATATTTTGCAGACTCGCCTACCATCGCGCTCCAAACCCACACCTGAAGCGGCGACAGGTATTGAACAGGATTTTGTCCGTTACTCACGCGGCTTTCTCAAATTCCATGACATTACCTCAACTTGCGAATTTGCTCCGCTCTGATTTTTAAGGACTAACAAAAATAGGGCTTTTGCTGTGTCATATAAAGAGCTCGGACAATCTGCCCAATGTAGAAAGCAGTTACCACCTGGCATAATCTGGTAATAACGATATACAAAAATGATACCAGTCAAGGTGGGGAGAGAAGGAAAAAGATCTGGCAGTACGTTAAAAACAGAATACAAAGGCTCACGAGTTCTCCAGCAAAGGTTGGCTTGCAAGGTCATACTCATTACAAACGTCTTCACGACGCCAGCAGTCCAGAAGACGCCGCGGGCTGCAGCACGGCAACCCAGCGCCTCTTTGGGAGACGGTAACTGTTCCTGTAGGGAGCAGTGAGTCTGTGCTGGAGGTCTCTCACCTTCGGGAATGAGTGTCCGTTTAGCTTCTGCACAGGAGCAGAGGAAGAACAAGTTTCATCTCTGCATAAAGTTTTTTTCCAAGGCAGCGGGAGTCCTCTGAAGGGAGTGGATATTGCGTTTCACCCGATCTTCCAGGGTGGAAGTAGATGCGCTCTCTAGTTTTAAGCGACTGCAGGAAGTTGAACCAGAGAAAGATATTAGAATCTCTTTCCAAACATTACACCATTTCTAGCAGGATTCACCATCCCCAAGTCATCTACCTAAAGTAATCTAACATAGAAAACAGCAGATTATTTCCTATTAATATCTGCACGGAAAGAACTGAACAGCTTTTAGTTTGGCTTGTAACAGATTCAATGCCTTATTTAAGGTCAGTGCTCAGAAATATATTTTCAGTAGCTCTCAAATCTCCTCCGTCTTCCAAATATAACTAACCGTTAATTACAAATGCATCCGTCACAGGGGACTCGGTTGCTTTCTGCGAAGCAAACGAGGGAAAAGCAATGCGTTCCTGAACTGAGGGCAGCGGTCCTCCGGGAGCCTGAATGCCAGAGCTCATGCTGTAAATGACTGCGTTAGCTACGGGAGAGAGAAGGGATCCTTGTGACCACTCGCTCTCTTTTACTACTTCAGATCACACCGCTGTGCTTTTCTGAATGATCTCCTCGTGCCCACCTCCCCCTTCAAACAACATGCCAATAAACACAAAGTTTGTTAGCTCAGCCAGTTGCTTCTGCACAGGGAAACACACAAAAATCTCTCTCCACAAGAGATTTTGCTCATGGAGAAAATCTATTGCGATTTTAAGCCACCCTTATGTGATCCCAGCTCTGGGCAGCTTCTGGAATTAAGTATACGTTCTCCTCCGATTAATTTGTAGAGCCTGGAGAATACTATGCTGCAGCAACTCCAAAATACATAACGCTGCCATAGGATCTTTCTTACACACCACTGCACTTTCTGGAAGGCCTTGTGCCACTCCAGTTTCCTTTGCCTGCCACGTGCGCAAGGGACTGCGAGTTACCGCCTGTGTTTAGAGACGGTCTTATTTCTTGTTGAGCACAGGTTTCAGTCCCACAAGCTCTTGGCACACAGGCTCCCAGTGGACTTGCAGGCCTAAAACTGTTGCAAGCTCCTAAAAACAGAGAACTTTTTAATATCTGCATGTAAAACACTACTAGGCATTTCCACAAGATGGCAAAAAATAACCGGTTACCGGTTTCCGAGACTGACTACCAAGGCCATCATAGAAATAGCTACCTTTTGGGTTAAGAAGAGAATTTGGGAACAGTAGATGTCACTAGTTCTACTGTAAAACACAGTAGAGATGGATCCTATACCATAATCTGAAACACCTCAAAGGATGAGGCCATCACGCGCTCCTCAGAAGCTGTGGCCTATATTTCCCTTGAATGAAAAAGCAGACAACGAAAGACACTCACTTGAAGAACTTCCCATCTCGGGAGTCGAGTTTCTCCAGTTCTCGCTCCAGCTCCTCCTCCTTTCGGTGTTTCCTGAGGTTGTTTGCTCTCTCCTCTTCCCGCCACTTGGCATTTTCCATCATCTCCTGGCGTTTACGCTCTAGTTCCTCTGGAGAGATCTTCCTATTTGTGTAGAGAACACCACAATAGCATCAACGGCATGCTGGGCCCCACCCCCCTCTTGCTTTCCATTCTTTAAGATGATTTACAATCCCCCAAATTAGGGGTGTTCAACATGTTTTTTTTCTTTGGCAGCCAATCAGCAAAGCTTGTAAGGACACGTCTAAATATTCTGCTTTACCACGCCCCTAGCAAGAGTCTGTTTTCTCCCTCTTTTCAGCCTTCTTGTTTTTAATTGACTGGTAAGATGATGCTGTCAAGGTCATATTTTCCTGATGACAGTGAAACAGAATGCTTCGAATTAACAGTCCATGGGACAAAGACTGACTTCACATTACTGCCTTGCACAGTGATGCGAGACACATGGAGAACCAGCAGCCACGTGGATTGGTTTGGGAAGCTGTCCGACGTCTTAACTAACAGCCAAGCTCAAGAGCACCAAACCGAGCACTTCAGGACTCTCTGTCCAACTTTCCGGACATTCGATCCAATCTACTTTAGTTAACAAAATAAAATTTGGTTCACAGATTACACCCAGCTGCTTCACAATCACCAGGGCAACTTCCATCCAAAAGCACAGGGACGAGATCTTGCTTACCTTGTGTAACCCGCAGTATGCTGTCGTCGATAGCTCTTTTTAGGGGAAGGGCTTCTAGCTCTCCCTTTCTCCTCCCGATTGCTATGTCTGTAACCCAGAAACACCCTTATTAGGACAGATGAGCATACCTTATCACACCTCTAAACTTTCCCCGGATTTTTTGTGCACATTCTGAAACCAAGACGCCTCCCATAACTGCAGGGCTGTCACCTGTCCACTTTGAAAACAAATTCTAATGACTCTTAATATACTGTAAATTTCCATCTATTTTTACTCAGTTTCAATTATTTCATCAGCAAACAATAAACACCCGGTACCTGATTTTATCAGATTTTATTTACCTTTAGCAAAGATAATTCAACAGTTATAAATACCTATTAAAGGTACAGTCACAAGCGATACCTAGAGAGTGTACCTAGAAAGAGGGTGTCCCAAACGGAGAGTGCAATTGCAGACAGCATGTCCCCTCCAGGAGCTCACCTGAGTGCTTCTGCACTCTTGCACAGCTGCACAGCTCCTGCCTCTACACCCAGAACTGAGCAATAATGTGGCCAGAACACTAAAGTGGTAGAAGGAGACTGAATAAGAGGGATTTTGATTCCAGAGAGCTCCCCCACCAGCACCCCTAGGTTTACGTTATCCAGGTTAGCCACACTCACTGTTTACTGTGTCTAGAAGGAGATCTTGACCCCCTGCATCCAGATTGTTCTGAATTCTTCTTGCTAGAGCGTCTCTGAGGAGAGCGGGACGGGCTCCTGGACCTGGAGCGATCCCGGTGCTTGTGGGCCCTCTCCTGACTGGCAGCTGGAGAGCTCCGAGACCTGTGGCTCTGGTCAGAGTCTCTAACCTGGAATTCAAAAGCGTCTTTCAGGAGAGCCGTCTTGTAAGAGCACAACAACAATGGAAGGCCACAGAGGAGACCTCAGGCTAGGCTAAGTGCAGGAAGGAGCGTACACTGTGGTTTGCGTTTACTTATCCCACTTCCTAGGTTCTTATTAACACCTGCGTCTAAAAAGATTATTTCTGTATCATGTTCAGCAAACTACACTGCCGAGGCATTCAAGCAGAGTATTTAAAGAGATGTGTGACTCTGAAGAGAAACTGAATAAAACTTAACTTGAATTCAGAGCAGACAAAAGCCCTACCAGGATCTGAACAACTTTAGTTTCAAGGCTTAGATGGCTCCGAATTGAACATGAACGTTATTATATCATGTCCCCCTCATAATCCTCTCCTAGCCGGTGAAGCAGTCTTGCAACACACTGCCAAAACTCTTGCTCTTCCCTAACTCAGGGCACTTGCTACTGAAAGAGCTGTGCGAAACACACAAACTTACTTGTAAGCCATATCCTGGGACTTTGGAAGGAGCAGGTTTCCAGGAGGAACTGTTCATCCTCTTCTGAGACCTAAAGAGAAAACAGAATAGTACTTTTGAAGCAGGTGAAATTCAAGAACACAATACTTTTTAAACATTAAAATGTCATTAAAATAATTTAACGATGTAAAAACAATGAAGTAACATAAAGAAACATTTAGGCAAATTAAGAGCATCAATTAGAAAGATAAAACTCAGAGAGGATTAGAAAAAGACATGAAAAACAAATTAACCAGGAAACACGGTATTTTTACTACAAAACCTCAAAACATACTTATTTTTGCCTCGCTCCTCATCACTGCTGTCACTTTCACTGCTAGAACTGCGATGTCGATGTTTCTTGTGCTTCTTCTTCTTCTCTTTCTTCTTCTTTTTCTCTTTTTTATCTAAACTGTTTTGCAGCTATAAAGCAAGACACCATTTCATTAGTAACAATCGCTGCCTCTACGCTTGGGCAGTCAGTATCACAAGGCAAAGTAACAGAGTTCTCTGTGGAAAGGCTCCTGGAACAAAACCTAAACCATTTAACAAGGTCCTCTCTCAAAACTAAAGAGCTTAATGGAGTCTTCCCTAGTGTCAGTTTGGTATTAGTGCATGTTAAATCCTGTCTGCAATCACTCTGTAGTACTAAATCAACAATTAATCACTTATTTTAAAAAAAAAAAAAAAAGCACACCAGAAGATCAAGAAGAGTAAAGTAACACTGAACTTGAAAGGAAGAGAAATTAATTCCTGCTGAGAGACTGATACAGAACCTTTCTATTATATCAGGATTATAGAAAGCTGAATTTATTCTGGTTTTCTGTGAAGAGTCAGGAAATGGAACTCAGGTCCTGATCCTAAACGATGCTGATTCTGACCTATGATCCTCTCCCTGGTTCAGTGTATTCTGTGCTTTGAGTCTGTAAAGGAGTACTGAGATACACCTACCAACTCTTTGATTTTCTTCATTTTAACAGGATTATTCAGAACTTCTCTCTTCTTTTCCTCCTCCCTCTTTCTAAAGCAGGAAAAAAAAAAAGTTTGTATTTTCAAACAACTGAAAACATGACATTTTCATGAAAGACACCAATCAAGCGCAAGCTCTAAAAACATACAAAGCAGGAAAACAGGCAAGTTTTGTACATTCAGCAAAATAGATCCAACAAAGGAGGAGTCTGCCCTTTTCTTCTCCGCTTAAAGAGTGCAACTAGCAGGGTAAACAAAAATTTGCTGTGTTGCCATCGATCTGCCTACAACGCTAATAAACGCCTGAACTCTCAGAGCAGACCAGATACATCCACACACACGTAAAAGGGTGAGCTAAGCCGGTAGAGACGATCAATGTGGAATAAGAATCTTTGCATTTACATGTATTTACCAACGTACAGCTAGATGATCCACGTGACGATCATCAGCTCGTTCAGATCACAAAAATCTTAGATTCTAAATCAAGTCAGCAAAATCATCCAAAGGCAGCAAAATGACCCAAATACGTTATTTGACATTATGTTGGTCTGTCTACACAACCAAAACCCTACTAGTCATGTAAGTGGCCGGTGACCTCTCTGCGGCCAGGACTGCCACCTACAGCCTAGAGCTCACAAACAGGCAGGACGTAGCTTTGAGGAACAGACACAACAGCAGTCTTTACAAAGACAAATAAGACAGCTCTTAGGGAGTTGCTAATACTGATGCTTTGCCTCATCTGCTACTGCTTTTAGCTCCACCTCTGGTACCTTATCATGAAAAGTGGATCCTCCCGGATTTTGTTTGCCATATCTAGGACAGAATTGGCACCCGTCTTGGCAAAAATGGAGCCTGGGAGAAGTCCTGTCTCATTGGAACAGCCTGCATCCTTGTCTTCTGTCTTCTCAAAGACGTATTTGTCCACAGGGCGACCCATAAGATATTCCTCTCTGTTCACCATGCCTCCAGGACCCTGGTACATCCACTCCAATTTCTCTTCTCTTTTCCTATTGCAAACAAGACCATCTTATTTATCCTCCTCACAGTTCTAAAGTTACATTTTAAGGCACAGGCTTACGAAGGTGAATCTAAACATTTTATCACCCGAACCATTAAACCCATGGCTCTCTCAGGGGCACCGAGAGCACCCGTACCACCGCACCAGACAGCGCTCGCCTCCAGAGGATTGCAAGGGCTGGTAACCACCGGTCTGGAGGGCACCACCTCACCTGACGGTACCCATGTCCTCAGCGTATCGCTGCATCTCCTCACGCGCTCGCTCCTCCTGCAGCTCCCGCTGCAGCTCCTCGATCTTCTTCCGCTCAGCCTCATGCTTCTGTTCGGCCTTCCACACCTTCTCCACATTGCGCAGGGTCTGGGGGTGCCAGCTCTTCTTCAGGTTCTGCGGGAGGGCGGAGACCGGACCGGCACCGTTAACAAAGGGCCGCCGAGCCCCGCCCGCGGGTCCCCACCGGCCTGCCCTCGCCGGCGGCCACGGGGAAGGGCCCGCTCAGAGCCGCGCTAGCCCGCGGCCCGGAGAACGGGACGCGCTCCTTCCCACCC